ATTGTGCCCGGCGAGGCTGTGAGATTGTAGAATTTTGCAAAATCAACGCTCCGTGGGGTTGACCAGCGACATCCCCGCGGTCTCTTGAATTTATGATACCGTTGTCGAGAGCTGGTCTTTATTCTTGGCCCCCATCGAGCGATCCACCTTCCCCATTTTTCATTTCCCACTCCTCCTTCCCCCCACTATCCATCCGAGAAGAAAGGCAAAGGAAGCCCAAATAATAATATTTGGTTTATTTAATAGCTGAGTAGAAGAGGGAATGTCAGTTGGTGTTGCTTTGGCAATGTCTAAAGATGAGTGTAACAGAGTCACTTTCACTGCCTTTGCCTGAATTCTGAACGGGGATCGGAGGTATCTTGACATTAGATTGCAGTAGGGTTGACAGGTACCCCCCCCCCGACTACCAGCAGGGGATGGGGGGGTTCGGGTTGCCAGCTCCAGGTTGGGAAACTCCTGGAGATTCGGGGGTGGAGCCTGTGGAGGACAGGGACCTCAGTGGGGCACAAGGCCACAGAGTCCCCCCTCCAAAGTATTCATTTCCTCCAGGGGAACTGACCTCTGTAGTCTGGAGATGAACTGTCATTCCAGGGGATCCCCAGGCCCCACCTGGAGGTTGGCATCCCTAGACCGCAGGCTTGCAAATATATGCCCTGGAACATTTATCTCACCAGTCACCGAACCACTTAATTATTTTTCAGAATTTCTGTTCAAATACCATGCAAGGAGGGGGGCAACTGGACGAAAATAAGATTAATAAAGCAAGGGGTGGGGGAGAGAAATACCAGCAGTAAAACAGAACGGAATAATTCACAGAGCAATTAATAAAATATCAGGCCCTCATCGATAGAGTCAATGCAGAATGTAAGAAAAAATCAATCGATCCCTCTGCCAGCAATCAGTATGCGCTTCACCGTTTCAAAGGCTCTAGCTGGCGAGGTTTATAATTTTTCAACTGTTAAATGTGGCAGGATAGTCCAAGACAACTGTTATTATTTTCCCCCTAGGGTTTCGCTCTTTTTTGTGTGTGTATTTCAGACACTTGGTCGAAAGCTAAATTAATACCTTATTTTTTGCTACCCTGATACAAAGTGCCTCTTTTCCCTTCTGGCAACGCTGGAAGTGACTTGCAGAAATCCTGCAATAAGTACAAACGTATCCATCGAAGGATATATTTTATTTCTTTGTTCCGAGCTTTCGTTTCTCGGACTCTCAATCCGTTGATTCCCGGGACAGCTAAACGTTGTCTGGAATGCATAAGAACAGAAGAGAAGCCAATGCTGGGTCAGGCCAATGGCACATCTAGTCCAACACTCTGTCACACAGTGGCCAAAAATACCAGGTGCCCTCAGGAGGTCCAGCACTGGGGCCAGGACACTAGGAGCCCTCCCACTCTTGCCCCCCCCCAAAGCACCAAGAAGACAGAGCATCCCTTGCCCCAGGCCGAGAGTTCCTATCGATTCCTTGTGGCTAATAGCTACTGATGGACCTCTGCTCCATACGTTTATCCAGTTCCCTCTTGAAGCCGTCCATGCTTGTAGCCGCCACCACCTCCTGTGGCAGTGAGTTCCACGTGTTGATCACTCTTTGGGTGAAGAAGGACTTCCTTTTATCTGTTCTAACCTTCAGCAATTTCATGGAGTGCCCCACGAGTTCTTGCCTTGTGAGAAAGGGAGGTTTTAAAGCAGAGGCCAGATGGACCTTCACTGGTCTCTGCCCTGTTGTTGGCCCTGCGGAGGAACTGGTTGGCCCCTGTGTGAGACGGGAGGCTGGACTAGATGGATCCTCACTGGTCTGACCCAGCAGGGCTCTTCTGGTGTCCTTCTCAGGGGAAGGTCTCGGCCTCTCTGCCCTGTTGTTGGCCCTCCAGAGGAACTGGTTGGCCACTGTGTGAGGCGGGAGGCTGGACTAGATGGACCTTCACTGATTTGATCCAGCAGGGCTCTTCTGAGGTTCTTCTCAGGGGAAGGCCTCCGCCTCTCTGCCCTGTTGTTGGCCCTCGAGGTGAACTGGTTGGCCACTGTGTGAAATGGGATGTTGAACTAGATGGACCCTCACTGGTCTGATCCAGCAGGGCTCTCCTGATGTTCTTCTTAGGGGAAGGCCTTGGCCTCTCTGCCCTGTTTGTTGGCCCTCCAGAGGAACTGGTTGGCCACTGTGTGAGACAGGATGCTGGACTAGAGGGACCGCTGGTCTGATCCATCAGGGCTCTTCTGATGTTCTTACAGTCTCATGAGGTTTTCAACTGTAGTTTAAAATTGGACTGCACTGTTTGTGTTTGATAGATTGGATTGTTAGTGTTATGGATGTCTGGGTTTATTGGATTGTGTCTGATATATGACATGAGCTCTCTGGAGCGTGGTGAGAAGGCAGGAGAGAAATCTTATTAATATTCATTTCTTTGAAATATATATATAAGCCAGCTATTCTCCCAACACTTGGGACCCAAGGCAGGTAGCGTCCACAGTTATAAATATATGAAAAGACAATGCAACAGGATGAGATTTGAGCTCAGTAGCACCATAAACACCAACAAGTTTTCTAGGACAAAGTTTATGTTACAATGGCAAAATTAACATCTTTTATACCAGCTTTAGAATTTCAAGAAAAATTATTAGTAATAATTATGTGGAATTTGGCATGGCTGTATCAAAAATATTAGTTTTTTATGGCAATTTGTATAAGAAATGTGATTTCTAGGACAAAGTTTATGTTACAATGGCAAAATTAACATCTATTATACCAGCTTTAGAATTTCAAGAAAAATTATTAGTAATAATTATGTGGAATTTGGCATGGCTGTATCAAAAATATTAGTATTTTCATGGCAATTTGTATAAGAAATGTGACGTTGAATGTAAATCTTAGAGCTGTTATTTTTAAGGTGAATATATAATTTTTGGAGCTGCGGTGGCTCAAGTGGTTAAGACACTGAACTGCAGGCTGTGGAAGATTGGTAGTTCAGCAGTTCGAGATCCGGGTGCCACATGACGGAGTGAGCTCCCGTCTCTGGTCCCAGCTCTTGCCAACCTAGCAG